GCTCTGAGGGCAGCCCCTGTTCCGACACCGCCCCACACAGCCCCACCGCCCCCAGATTCACCTGAGAGCCGCGGAGCTGGGCCACCCCGCACAGCCCAGGGCGCACCGCCCTTCAGCTTCCAGATCGCGAGAAGCGATGGCGACGGGGGGCGGCAGCACCGCGGGTTCCAGGCTCTCTCACACACACACCCGTGTGAAGACGGGGCGCGCAGCGCTAAGGAACCGCTCCACTCAGCCTGGCTGTGCCCTCCCGCTACACCGCGCTCACCTCAGGATAGACATTCGACGCCCGAGGGGCGGCGGAACAAGAGATGGCGGCGGGAGAGCAGCGACTGCTCAGCGAGGGTCCCCTCAGCAGCGAGACGAGCCGCCAAAAGGGGGGCGGCAGCCGGCGCCGTGCGGAACGATCCCTGCGGGCGGAGAACCGCGCAAGCGCGCCTGCGTGCGCTGTCCCTCATCCCGCATCGCCTCGGGGAGCTGGGGAGGAGAGGGTGGTGACCGGGATGGAGGGGGCGACGCTGCGCGTGCGCCATGCCCGCCTTCTCGAGACCGAATGAGGGGCAGCGCCTCTGGGCAGGCCGTTGCGATGGGGGTAGGTGGCTGTAAGGGCTGCGTTGGGCGGATCCCGAGGCTCCAAAGCAGATCGTTAGGTGGAGAAGTGGCCGCCAGGCTGCAGAACGAACGTCACTGACTGGGAAGAGCCCGCACACAGTCCGGGCTTTGGCATAAAGACAGACGTTTCTGCGGTTTAAATGCACTCTTTTGAAGTTCGGACATGGAAAAGAGTAGATAATAATCTTCAGCTGATCCTTTCCCTCACAGGAAAGCAGAGAATTGGTCAAACCTAAGGGCTTCTGCAGATTCAGTGCAGATTTTGACAACAACAGGGAAATCCTAATCATCCTCTCCCTTTCCTGGCTGCAGTCAAAGCCATTATTCACAGTCTCCTCTCCACCCACAGCTGTGCCCATCTCAGGAACACAGAAGTACACACACCTTCGTACACCTCAACCGCTGCTGTCCAGATCCCAACATCAGTTTGTCACCTTTATGCTACCACTTGACATCATCTGCTGCCACCCAGTAACTCTTGGATGAGGTAGTAACAAGGCAGCACCTGTTCATCACAAGCTATAGCATAGGGATGCTGCTTCAGCAAACATACAGGAAAGAATGAGCCCCTGCCTTAAGGCCTAGCCAGGAGTACCATGTAGGACAGCTGTAAGGCCACAGGGGACATGACTGCTCCCAGGTTGTTTTTCCCCACTTGTGGTTTGGGACCCCAAGAGATACATTTAGTTAAGCGCACCCCGAGGGTTATAACTCCACCCCTTGTCCCCCTGGACAAAACCCCACGCAGCGAGTGTTAATTCGGTTGGCAAGCATTCATTAGTGCCGCTCGTTAGATAGTGCCAGTATTTTGAATTTATGGCTGTTCATGTCTCTTAATTGGCATTGCTAGGAAATGGCCGTAAGCTGCCCTGAGGCACAAGAGCCTGTACCTGAAGGATGGCATTTTCCAAGTGCATTGTCCCCAACGTGTATCAGAGGCCTGTGTTGTCCCACAGACGATGCTTTCTTCACCTCAGTGCTGAACTGGCAGGTGTGCAGAAACCGTAGATCAGGTCCTCAGTCATAGAGCACATCCTGGCTTCCCGTCCTCAACCTTGCTTTTCTCCAGGCTCCACTTGGATCATGTTTTCCAGCTCTTCTCTGAAATAACGAATGCTAACACTTGTAAAAGTCCTGTAAAGCCAGCAATGGTAGTACTTGAGCCTCGTGTAAATTCACATGCCTCAGGGTGCTACAGCCCCAAACGTCAGCTGTAGCAAACTGCATTTCATTTACAAATACACAATTAAAAACCATTTTTTTGGATGTACATAGTGCCTATCGTTGTAAACAACTACTGCCTTAAATTCCTTAAAGATTTTTACTGATTAAAACTGATTATAGCAAGAATATTTATCATGCCAGAATTCCATAGTTTTTAAACAGAATCTTTTATTAAGTTAAATTTCCAGAGGGGTCATCAAAAAGACAGAATTAAACAGACATGCAACACTGCTTACAAAAAAAAAAAAAAAAAAATGAAGCAGTTCATCCTCAGGGTTCAACACTGCAAAGACACATTTATACACACATTTCCATATGAACATTTTATACATTCAGTCAACACTGCAGCTCTATGCCACAGCATAAAGCTATATGCAAGATATACAGTGAGAACATATTAAGTGCACTGAGAAGCCACACAGTGTATAGGCCACAAAAGTCAGTTCACATTTGATAAAGAAGCTAGGAGAAAGTCAAGGACCTATTCTGCCCAATTCATAATGGAGACAGCAGTCAGTTGGATTATGTGCACGCTTTTTCAGTGTTTGATTCTGAACAAAATGCTGCACATTTGGAAATCTAGCTATGCTCCACTGTTTACAGCACACTACTTCTCTGTGGATCAGCTGTGGATAAACTGAAGCTTTGACATTGCATGTGTTAAATGATGTGCTTTACAGAAACAGGTTACTTTCCATGCTGAAAAAAAAAAAAAAAAAAAAAAAAAAAAAAAGCACGTGGCATGCAGCTCTCCTTTAAATCTTTAGGGGCAGTTTAGTCGTAAATGCCTGCTGCAATCCCAGGCATGACCACTGTTACCTCAGCCCTAGAAATATTCTGTAACAAGTCTGAGGGTACAGAGGACTTCTCATTTTCAGTTTCCAAGACCTGAATTAGAGAAAAGGTAAGGATGTAATTGTAATCCTGAGCTATTCCCTCCTTCTGTTAGAAAGACTGGATAAGCCCTATACTCAGTTTACTTGTGCCTTCTCAGGAACAGAGACGGCATCTATAAAAACACAGTGCAGAGCAGCATGTACAGTCTTCTGAAAGTTTGTGAGAAAGAACAAGAAAGGAGAAAGTACATAAAAAAAAGTTAAAATTCAGGTATTGCACATAGGCACCACGAAGGGGTGAGGTTCAGTCTGGCAGTCCTACCACTATGCTTACCGTGGCTAACAGACTGACAAGAGTGCAGCTCTCACAACATCAGCGCACTGAGTTCAACCCTATAACCCCCAAAACTCCTCAGGCTCTACTGATTTGTGTGCTCTAGAAATAGACACACAAATAGCAATATTTCACATTACTCAATAGGAATTACCTCCCTTGGAATCTGCTGTCAGAAAGCTCCTAAAAGCAAGGTGTTCGGAATAAAAACAGCCTTACAATTAGGAGAAAAAGCTAACCAGAAAAAACAAGTGGCTGTGAAGTCTGCACATCAATCAGTTGCAGTTTTTAAGTACTACTTAGAAACTGAGCACTGGGAAAACAATGCTCAACTACACAGGATCACCCTATGAATAGAAATCAATAGCAAGCCCCTTTTCACATCCTTTTGATTGATATTTTACTTACATATTTTATACCATCTCTGTAATAATTAAACAGTATTGCCATGTAAAATGTGGAGTTTGTAGGTTTAGCACAGTTGCTTTTAAAACAGCTTGTTTCTGTGCCTTCAGAACTATTAGGTCAACTACCTACTGCCTCATTCATTAGAAGGAAAGAGACAAGCCATACTTGTACTCATACCCTTCCCAGCCAGCCCCCACTGTACTACTTTGTTTTGTATTACAAGGAACAAAAGCCACACATAACTTCACAATCGATTACCAGGGGCACAGGCAGTAGAACCAGCGTCAACTCCAACAAGATTAATGTACTGGCAGAATTAGCCCATTAACACTGTTATCTTATCTAAGCATAAAAAGTACTGTGGGCAAAAGAAAAGTTGGTATTTCTTGAGGTTTCCTAAGCTGCAGTGTATGCGACGCCACTAGTTTCAATTGTCAGATATGTCAAACTGAAGAAGCAACTTCACATATAGGCACATGCGCAGCCTCTAGGCATCTTCACTTCACAGGGGTAGGAGTTTATTTTTATTTAAGTTGCACAAAACTGTCAGTGCAGTCTCATGTATTCCCAGATTAAATTAGTATTCATAGCTGGCAAGGAAAACATATGCAAAAGAGTAGTTCTGTTGTCAACTGTAATAACATGAAGCAGTAGAATTACTTATAAGTCAGATAAGCTCTCAGGTAGTGGAAAAAGAATCTGGTTGTGAGTGAAAAAAGAAAAAAAGGAAAAATGCAGGAAGCCACAACTTTAAGTTCAAGATCCTTCTGAGCCCCTTAGTATCAGAATTACCACTTAAAAACGCACAGAACACATTCACTATTCATTTCAAATTAAGTCTTCTAAGGTCACGGAGACACCCTACTATGCATACAACCCAAAATACAACAAAGTAAACTTAAAATTTGGTTTCCCAGTAAAATTATTGCTTTCAGAGAAGATATCAAAATACCAAGAACAGCTGCATACTCTTGTAAATGTTGTACTTTGTCCCCTTCACTTAACCGTTTTACACCCGTGTCTGTTTCTCCCTTTGTAACAGCTTACAGCCATCTCTTAGAAGCTGGAAAGAAAAATATCAAAGTACACAATGCTTCATTATTCTGGCAGTTCTCACTGAGTGCTGGACTGTGCGTGCTCATTTTTCCTACTAGGTCATTCACAGTATTAGGACAGTACCTTTTTTGCTTCTTAGAATAAAGGAGCATAAAATGGCACCCCTACCTACAACACCGTAACACTGCCAAAGGAATGCTGACATCTTTAAGCATTTAAAACTACTAAACAAAGTTGCAAACCCTATCTCGACTACAGAGAGAAAATAAAAATGGTAAAGAATTGGAATCTCATCAAGACCGACTAAAATATCCTTCCAGTCACGTTACTACAGTGCTGTCCCTGTAGCCTTCGATGCAACTTGAAGCTCTTTCTGTGAAACCAGAGAAATAGCAAACAGTCCTTGTTCTAAACTGCCATGTAATCCAGTGGTGCTAGATAAAGAATTAACGTGCTCAGTGCATACATTCAACACAAGCTAGAGAATGGCTATACAAGAAAAGCCCAAGAATACTCAGTAAGTTTCAGTGTTAGTGCTTGAAAATAATTAAATTTTATTGCCATGTTAAGGTAGCATGGTGGTTACGTTAGAAACATGAGGGTTTACAACTTTTCCAAAAATTCGTCAATCTCTCTGTGTAAAAGATTAAATCCTTTCCTCATCTCACTGTGAACAACGCCTGAAAACCTCTATTTGGAAATAAACCACTCCCAGCAGAGCTAGAAATTGCATGGTTACTTCTCTTCCCACAGCATCTGCTATTTCATTAGTTTCCTAAAGACGCGATACTGTATTCAGTATTTCATGCTCTCAGCAGCCTTCAACGGAGGACTGTGATTTACTTCTTGCTAAGAGGAATGCTTTCAACTTCACAGCTACAGAGAGTTGCTTATTTTAATAATCAGTCTTTAAAGTAAAGTTTGAGACAAACTTTAAACTATATCAAAGTCGGCTTAACACTTGCCTACATTTTAATCAGGTAAATAAATAAAGGGCATACTTCCGATGAGTCAAATCAGTTCCTTAAAGGTCATTCACTCCTTTTTGCTGTGCTCCAGCACCCGGTATGGTGGAGCAGAAACTCCTCTGGAACCATGTTGCTCCTGCACTATTGGCAGTGTAGCAGGTGTATAAATTTCTGGTGTGCTGTCATTGTTTTGCAGGGCACCATAGGAAAAGGAAGCTTTGAGGTCAGGCTGAACTGCAATCCCTTTGTCATGCATGTTTTGCATGCCTGAAAATAGCAAAAGCAGAGATTAAATGTTTAAGAACAAAAACACATTCTTCCTGTACTCTGTTAAATCACCAAATTACACAGGCTGTGGGTTACTGGCACGTGGCTCATCAGATCCTTGAACATTAAATGAAAGAATGCTTTTCAGCTAAGCAGTAAAGCAACTAACGGAGGAAATTACGCTGTAGTGAATGCAGGATTGCAATCATGTATTTATCAAATGCTACATGTTTCTTGTACAGATCACCAGAAAGACAGTTTAGCTATACTTCAAAAAATAAGTTTCTGTTCCTTCTGGCCTCTATCGTTTGCCATGTACCTCAGTCTTCCCCAGTAATCACTTCTTCCTGCTTGATGAAGACCAATCCCAAGTAAATGCTCAAAACCTGTAATCTTCCCAGACAGTAGCTAATGGGACTGTTGCCACACTCTCTCTGGCATCAAAGGGCCCAGAGTTAAGTGTCACCAAAGCAGAAAATGATGCCTTTCCTGCTTCACAAAAAACATGAATGCACACCCCTCCACGAGACAATCAACCAAAGAGAAAGGAAAAACAAAGAACAACTTTAAAAAGACTCAAGTTTGAGTGAAAACCCAACAAATAAAAGAAACAGGGCTATAAACCATTGTTACCTGGCATAGCATCCATTGATATATAGGGTTCAAACGGTACAGATTTCTTTCTATTTCTTGTGATCAGGAAGACACCTAGAAACGCTATGAGGCATCTGAGAAAAAACAGAAGATCTTTTGATATGACCGTGAAAATGGAGAGGAGACAATGCTTGATGACAGGCCCTCAGAAAAATCAGCACCTAGCACAGTAAAGAACTCGGAACTAGAAGAGAAAGATCTACAGAGTGAGAAAGACTTCTCAGTTGAGTAACCCTTTTTGACAGTACTGAAATGTAACTAGCAATCACGACTTCGCACCTTTACCAAAATGCAGAGAGAAATTTTCACATTAATCTTGACTAAGAGCAGAAAGAAAGCATATAGAAATTTTATCTGCTTTGATGACATTCCAGGATTTTACAGCCTAAATTATGCAAAGTTTTCCATGGATAAATACACTGACAATTGTCAATCTTCATTTTTACAGCATGCTGACAGAGGAAGACAGTTAATAATACTAAACTCCCAACTGTTGCTTGTTTTCCTGTATTAAATTGAAAAGCATTTCAGGTTGCCCCCTGCTTATGGAGAGTTAATCACATCAAACACTGTAGTTAGGACTAAACGTTGAGTTACAAAGTGAATGTTTTACTGATTATATCTGCATTGTGTGAATGGCCATGCCCCCTAAGAAACAGGATTCCTGAAGTCTCGTAATAAGACAGTGAAAGCTCAAATAGATGCCCAAGAGATCACTGCTTCTGATTATTTTACAGTTCTAGATTGGTGAGCAGATAGCCTGAGAGCATTCCACTTCACCTTAGAAGGTGTGAATACACTTGGAAAAACAATCCATGTGATTCAACACCCAATAGGATCTCCAGTACAGTCAGCAGGACATTTACTGTGAAGTGCAGAAGTTGTACAACTATACATAACCTACTGTGATAAAATTCCTCTAGAGCATCCACCATCACTCAGATAAGGTATGGAACTATGGGCCACTGTGTGCTCTAAGAGCACAGTCAGTTTGTCCTCCTTCACAGTAGGTTACACATCCCACGTATACACACATACACATGTACTTACATACGGATTTCTAAAATTTAGCCATATGAAGAAAAACTACTCAGTTTTCTATCAGGGAAACTTAAAACACTTACCCAAGTGCAAACATACATATATGAAGAACATCTTCACCAGTGAAATCCAGGTAGAAAGTTGCTCCTTCAAAAGGAAATAATTCACAATGGCTTTCTTCCCAGGTAACATGAGCAATTACTGCTGCATCTCTAGTACTGGTCCCTCCAGAAACTAAGTCATGTAAGATCACTATTTGTATAGTTAGCATGTTTAGTTGGCTTTTTTTTTTTTTTTTTTTATGGTCTTAATACAGAAAAGCATGGTCTGATTACCACTGCAACAGAAACTGTACGTTTACAAACCTTTTAGAATTTGACCACCAAAATAACAGTGCAATTACTATGGCCACAAGTAAACCTGTACAGCAGCACAGCAACTAGTACAAAGCTTCCAATATTGGGGTAGGGAAGGAAATAGTGTTAGAACTGTTGCAGGTCACTATGCAAATGAGCCTAAGCTGAATTCTCACCAGATAGTTATTACCATATAAACACAAGAGACCACACTCCCCAAGACTGAACAAGAGACCAAACTGGATCTCTCTAACTACAACAGAATAAAAACCCTTGACTCCAATTAAGCATACACAGCTTAAAAACATAAGATGACAGATGTCACTGTTGCCCTAGATGTCAACAGGATAAAAAGCCTGACCTACACACCCTGGCTCCAATTCTACATCTCTAATAGAGGTAAATAAAGTTGATTAATCTGAGAGTAGCATGTGACTTGGAACGTGACAGGGAACAAGCATTAGACAAAGAGTAGGCCACAGTCTTTCACAGTGTTGAACAGAACTAAAAGGCAATACGTAATTTTAAGGGGGCAGGGGACTATTGTCCCTATGTATCTAGGAGGGAATTACTATTTACACAGATAGTGCATCTGCTTTATTGTGATGAATACTTTCTCTAGTGCCTTTTTTCTTCTTCCCAGTTTTACTCATACATCTAAGAAAAACCTTCAAAGCGCTTCCTCAGGTTTCAAGCCTAAGTGGGTTTAAAATGCTCATCTTTGTTCATAGACAAAACTTCCTCTGTGCAGCTAAGGTCTAAGATTGGAGTCATCTGTACAAAATGAAAACTACCTACAAAGTTGAAAGCAGTTGCATCCTACATACAATGCAAACAAAACCATCAAGAAGAAACTCATAACAGGTGTGACCAGAAGAAAAAAACACATTAAATGAAATGAATTCACATTTTGAGAGAGGAAAAAAGGGAAAGCAAACCAGCTCCAGAAGAGAGATGACAAGAAAATACAAGTCATTGTCTTGCTGGGTATTCACATTCCTCAGCTGTAGCTAAGAATTATTTTCCAAAGTCTTTTGCCCCTCTTTCAGAAAGAATCAACATGCTGTTTTGAGCACTGTTACCTGCTGTGATAGCTACTGTTGTGGACAGGATGTAGCCAATGCTCGCAATTTGAGATGAATCATAGAGCTGTGAAGCTTGAGCTAAAAATCTGCAACGCAGTGACAGATGACAGAAGTTAACTTGGGAAGAATACTCAAACTGCAGTAGCTAACATCAACCAGCCCACTTCTCCTTTCTGGAGGTACCTTTCAAGTACCTGGTGAATACATTTAAGAAACTTTACTCTTTCTCAGTACACCTACATAAGCATCCCCTAGAATTAATAGAAATGATAGATGAATGAACATTCTGCTGTACTAACTAAAGGCAGTTCAATTACAACCACTGACATTGGGGCCAGGACATCACTTGCATTCTGAACAGTTCCTTATCCTTGCTGCTACTTGTGTTTTTACATTATCGTAAGAACAAAGGGGAAAAATACAGAGCACTTTGATTTCAGTCAGTGCAAATACACTGTATTTCATTAGCCACCATTTCATTCACGCTGGTGTTTTACAAATACTAGAATGATCTATAAATTTGAGATCAATACTACTTGGTAATGTCACTACATGGAAAAGCAAAGAATGCTATCTTAGGCTCCTGTGACACAGATTTGAAGACAGGTGACACAAGAGGCCAGACCTTCACACTAAAATTTGATCAGCATTCTGGAAATCAATAACAAACATCTCACTAGTTAGAGATCTGCCGAACCAGCACAGTTATGGAAGAGAGAGATGGTCTTAGATGGTCTTACGTTGCTTGAAAGACTGCTGTAGCAATCATGCACACCAACATGATATAGAATATCGGGTAGTTGAGTTGGAGGTTTCCTCGTATTGAGACAACAATCATGCCTGCCACAGCCTTCACTGTCACAACAGTCATGGAACCTGCAAATGTTTATGAAAATACAGCTGAACTATGTCCTTCTCAGCAGGACAAGAACACTGCACATTCACTCTATATGTGACGAGCAGCTGCAAACAAAGTCAAGATATACACATACTCAAACCCTTCTCTTGCAGGGAAGGTATTTTATCTCTAAACATCAGTTATATTCCCAACAACATTACCACTGTGACCTTCAGTAAATCACAACATTTCGATATTAGTTTTTCTTGTCAACAGGGCTAGGAGCATCTACCACTTGTCTTAAGCGTTTAAACATTATTACACAATCATACTACGGAAGGATAAAAGCTATCATTTCTGATGACACACTGACATGATTAATAAGACTAAGGAAGTTTTCAAAACAATCCATATCAACTTACCCAGCAAAGCCACCAACAGGAGAATTATTACAATGTAGTTTGCATTTTTCTCCTTGTAAAAATACAGTAGCAGGCAGAATATGATGATTTCTACAAGCTACAAGAGAAGAGAAACCATCAGATGTGGAGTTTATGGCATTGCCAGTAAATGGAATACTGAACAAGTCAGACATTAAAAATCACAAAACAGGACAAATCAAAGGAAAATGAGGATCGTACGCAATTACAGACCAAGCTTAATCCCAATCAAATACTGATATCACAAATATCAGCCTATTTTCCATAATGAGGTTGTGTAAATGACCCCTGCAGCACACATCTAATTTAATAGGCAAACTTATCTCTGTTAAACAGATTTTACAATATTATTAATGAGACAGTGATGGCTCAAGAAAAAACGTCTGTCTAGGAAAAGCGCAGACCAAGTATAACATTTGGGCACCTCTTGGACAGTTGCTCTCAGCTGCCATCAATACTACTTCCACAGGCTGAAGCTGACAGGTCAGGGAGAGAGCAAGCTATTTTAAAACTTTTCAGGTAAAGATACTTAAATTCTAACAGAGTAATTCAGAGAGAGAACAGTAGGGTTACAAGTTGCACGTGCACTGTGAAACTGACACTGGCAAAAGTGACATAAGTCCATTAGCAAGTACAAAGAAATACCTCTAGCACTTATAACAAAAAATACTTTAAAACCTCTCAACCAGGAATATGGCAGAAAACATTCCCGTATTTTATGGGCTATCTTACCATATACAACAGAAATGGCCAGCTCACTAAATGCCTAGTGATATTTTCTCCTGTCATCTTCTCATGACTATTAGGTCCAAACGTAATCAGCAGATAAGTTCCAACAATTGCCAAACCACAACCTACAAAGGACAAAACATATCGCCCTTCGGCAACCAAAGGACAAAAAAAAAAAAAAAAAAAAAAAAAAAAAAAGGAAGAAGTGGACAGTTAGTAGGTTAGTATGGATGTATGGAATTACGATCTCATGTGCATATAGCCATGACACCATGCACAGTCCTCCAAGTGACTCATTCCTCTGCCCTTCATGCCCTACTTTCAAATTGTTATAATTAAGAAACCTCAGGCGATAAGTATGCCACGATTTGAGAAAAAAAAAAAAAAAAAAAAACTCATACCAAGTAGCATTTGCTAAAATAACTGTAGTCACAAGATCTGCATCTGGGGCTTATCATGCCTTGCACTGCCTACAGCCTATTTTCCAGAAAGCAGAAGAATGAATGTTCCAGCTCTGCAAACACACATATGCATGAAATGTGGCTGATTCAGTTCTACCTAAGCAAACGCAGTGCCAGGGACCCAGGCTCACCATGCCTGACTCTTAGGTCATGCTTTGCATAGGTCAGCTTGTGAATGGAGGAAAAAAGTGAAAAGGAAATGCAGTACTTACTCAAAAATTCCTTGGGCTTCCATTTTTCTTTAATAAATATAATTCCTATGATTGCACTAGCTGTAAAGACAGGAAAGAAAAAAAAAAAAAAAAAAGAAACAGGATGATCTATATATTGGTCCAGCAATCAGTTGTCTCGCACTAAAACGCTTTCAGACTTGCATGTCAGTCATCTCTTTCCTCTTACCTATAACAGACACTGCGCTGAGAGGCACAATCAGTGAAAGAGGAGCAAAGGCATAAGAAGAAAACACCCCCAGTTCTCCCAGAACCAGGAGAAAAAGTCCACACCACCATGTCTTGGTTTTGAAATAGGCTCGGGGATCTTTGGAACCTGCCAACCGGATATGGCTGTATTTCTAGAAAAAGGGGATAAAGGAACAGAAGCTGTGGCATGCATGACACTTTTTAACACAGGATATTTGAGGCAGGATCAATATTTGTTTCACGATACTCACCTGGAGGTTGAGTGCAATACTGATAACAAGATGCCCAAAAATAGCTAGTAATGCACCAATCAAATTCTCCTGTAAAAACAAAATAAATATAAAGATATTACATTCACCTACTGGACCTTGAAGGAAGTTGGGGTTTCACGCACAATCACAGATCACAGAATCACAGAATCACCCGGGTTGGAAGGGACCTCAAGGATCATGTAGTTCCAACCCCCCTGCCTAGCAGGGCCACCAAACACACACATTCAGATCAGGTTGCCCAGGACCCTGTCCAACCTGGCCTTAAACACATCCAAGGACGGGGCATCCACAACCTCCCTGGGCAGCCCGTTCCAGGGCCTAACCGCTCTCCTTGTATAGAACTTCCCCCTAACATCCAACCTAAATCTTCCCTCCTTCAATCTGGAAGACAGCAGAATTAAAATGGCTCCTTCGAATACTCTGCAATAAAATCTGTTTTTATCTTCTCCATGTGACAGGAAAATTCAAGTAACTTTTCTGTAGCTACATTCCAAATCTGTGAAGCTCAGGCAGAAGATAATCCATTATGAATTGACACTCCATGAGAGAGCTAAATTAATAAGTGCATATTTGGAATCTTTGCAGGAATGTTTCTCAGCAGGAAAGAACAGACTGCTAAATGCAACCTATCCGTTCATTCTTTCCTTTAAATATCTGTTTTCATAATGGCTTGGCATTCAGCAGCACATGGATCAGAAACATTTGCATTCTGTGAATCAGCTTTCAAGAACTATTCTGCTCTTCTCCACCTCACCTATAACATCTGCTGGTTTAGTGGGCAATTTAGCTGCATTCAAAAACCCCTGAGATACCTTCCCACAACAGATAGTAAAGCTTGCATAAAAACTTGCAAGCCCGGAAAAAGCTCATGTTAATCTGGAGAACTTTTATAACCACCCAAAACTGTGTTCTAAATGAAATTTTTATACACAGAAGTTATGGCATTCAAGAGTAGACTGGAGTAAAAATATGACCTTATAAGAAAAGGAGTCTGCGTGTGGCTGCACAGAAACTGCTGCTGTGGCCAGTGGGACTTGCTGAAGTTGCATGTGTGGACTGTTGCCTCCTTCCATTTTTGTTTGTTTTTCAGTCTCCTGGACGACAGAACTCTTTAAAGAGGCTTGAACTCTGCTGAAGTTAGGTCATTTGTGACTTGGTACCACTTCTTCCCATCCATCCTGCTTTGCTTCTTGAAATTCTCTGCAGCTTGCCTGCTTTTCTTCCTCTGCAGGGTTATGCTGAAAAAGAATAGGCACCACAAGCAGAGGTGTAGATAAGCAAATATTTCTAGCAAGTTAAGCGGCATAGCATCATATTTCTCCAAGATGACACTAAGAACAATGTAAAAGAAAGGAGAAAAAAAAGGAGAAAAAAAAAAGAATCAGTTCAGTGAAGCCAATGGTCAAAAAGCTGTAATGAAACCCTGTGGTAAGATAGTCCATACGTAAAAATCCCCAGAGTCAAAGCAACAGCTGTACCTATCAACAGAGAAAGTAGAATTTCTATGCCTTCTCAGAAAGCCTCAAGCACAGGAACTCACTCTTCCCAGAGCTCACAAACCGGCCTGGCCACAGAGGGGGACATTTAACAAGCTATGCCATTTGGAACGCTCGTTCCCGAAGTCTCAAAGGCTCCAAGCCCTGCTTTGCCCCCTCTCCTGCCTACAAACTTCTTTCATTAGCTCAGGACACCGCACGACGTCGGCCTCACAGCCCCACGCTCTGAGCGGCTCCTGGTGCCGCTGGGGGGGCCGTCACCACATCGCGCGGCTCCAGGCGGGACTGCCGGGACCAAACTCACCGCACAGCACCATACGCACAAACCGGTCCCCGGTCCCGCACCACGGCGGCTCCTTCCACTAAAGACCTCAGAAAGCATCTGTGGCCCTAAGGGACAGACGTGGTGAAAAGATCCCTTCGCACAAAGGGCCACACGCTGCATCAGGGCGCGGTCCGACAAACAGGTGAGGGCTCACCCGGTGCTGCCCACAACGGGGCTGCCGAGCGTTCCTCAGTCCGACCTACGGCCTCAGCGCGCAGCTCAGACCCACACCGTGCCTGCCGAGCAGAGATCGCTAAGATTCACGGCCCGCCCCGCGCAGCCTCAGCCCCGCGCCGCACTCACCCGGCGGCCCGCAGCTCCTGTCGCCGCCTAGCCCTGCTCACCTGAGGCGGAGGGAAGCCCTCGACCCAAGGAGAACCTCTAACAGCAGCAGCGCCTTACCTACGGCCAGGACATTCCTAGAGCCCGGTCCTGAAAGCAGCAGAGAGCACTCCCCAATTCCACAGCATTCCTGTCCCAGAGGAAGACCGCCGCACCCAGGCACTCGCCTTCTAGAGTCACCTTAATGCGCATGCGCCAGTCGCCAGCCTCAAGCCACCTTAACCAGCTGCGCACGGGGCTGCTTTGAGAGCTTGCCTGTGATTGGAGGTCTACCGGAATTTTGAGAGAAACAGGCCTGATGATTGGTGCAGATTGGGGGCCGGCCACTGTCGCGGTAACTAGGGCTATTGCTCCTTTAGTGCGCCGCGCCGCATAGCAGGATGGGAATTGCTTGTCCCGTTGCCGGGAGGGGCATACGATGGTGCGGTCCTGGCGGTTCGGTTTCGTTTGCTTCAGAAGCGAAACGGTGGTCCCGTTAAAGTTCGTTGTGTTGGGTGCGCGAATCTCGTGGCTGTTCTGGAGCAGCACGAGGTGCCTCAGATCGTAAGGTCCCGCCCGGTACCGTGCAGTGAATCGTTCACAGCTGGAGAAGGGAAATCCCAACGACGCGAGTGATTTTCTTTCAAAGCACAGTATTTATTAATGAAGGCAGTCAGTACGAAGTGATGCCCGGAGAAATTTATATCTCTATCAATTGGGTGTGCATGAGGGGCAAAACTGAACTCCTTGGAAACATTTGGACCAGCACAGGGGGATGGGGAGCGCTACCACTCCCGGCTTCCCGGTGGCTGTGTATTGAGTGAGGTAGTGGGAAGTTCGCTGCGGGCTCTCTGACGGCACTGAGCAATTCCTCGTCCTATACACAGCCCTCTGCAACCCCAGCAATGACTGTCACAGGGTACGCACTACCTCTGCTCAGCAGCATCCCTCCCTTCTCACCGAGCTACAGTGAATTTGAATTCAGTAGTGCAGCATTATTGCCAGTGCAGGTCTATGCCTTATCCTGATCAGTCAAGGTGTCCATGTTTTTGTTGTGATGGCTGTAGGAGACCAGAACCAGAGCTGGTTGCCACATCCCTACCTCAGGACAGTCACCACACCTCTGCCAAGAAGGGGCCTTTGATCCCAGGCCTTCAGATGTGCAGTTTAGGGATAATCAGTGCTGTAAAGCGCACTGTTAAGGTGCACAACAATCTGCAAAAGCTGCACTGAGCCACCAACATTAGTGTTTCAAAGAGCTTCCTACCCCTCCCCCCCCTTTGCTTTTGAATAAAATAGGAAAATTAAATGCAAAAATGCTGATTTTTTTTACTTGAATACAGCATCAGTGTCAGATGTGCCTTTTACTTATGCATCCTATTTGAAATGAAAGCTGGCATTGCAGTTACGTGTTTTCTGTATCTCCATTTTCAGTTTTATTACTACTGGCTGTTCTTTTTAGGTTTCCAAATTTCCTCCAGTCTTTATAAGCAACACAGGAACATAATCTCAAGATCAGGAAAAAAAAAAAAACCAAGGATTTAATTCTCAATCAAAGTTACTTTAATATACAAGGCAAATAAGAACAGTGTTTCATGTTGTCGTTTTTGATTTTATTTTTTTTTGCAAATCATAATGGTCCTGTTTTGAAACCAAGAATAGCAACTAAGTTTAGATTGTGGTTGTTAAATTAACTTTGAAATCACAACTGATAACAGTACGAGGTAAATGGTAAAGCAATATTAGTAGTTTAAACCTTGAAATTACCTTTATCCATACTATCTCCCTATCTCTCACCAGCCCAGCTTTATCCATGGTCGCTTTTCCAGCCTTCTTGAGCTTCCCTGGATACAGAAGTATCCTGGACATATTCTGAAATTCAAGAGCAAATTCAAATAAATCAGCAGAGTTAAAGCTTGTGTAGTAATAGAAAAATGACTCCTCCTATCTTTCAATACTCTTCACACTGATCCTTCCCTGACTGGTAGGACTTACATTGGTATGTGTGTTATCTGGCCAGCAGAGGGAAGCAGAAAGATATTTTATAACCCTACATGTTTTTTCCAGCCTGCTCTGTACAGTTTCTTTTCAAGTCTACCCGCACTTACAGACCTCCTTGGGCTTCCTGGATGCATCTTGAAAGCTATAAAAAGAGGGTCCCCATGGCTTCTCTTAACAGTCTCCTGCTGTCTAGTGGCTGTGATACCACCAGAACTCTAAAAATGAAGCATATTCAGAATTTCTGAAACGTTGCATACCAAGTATGTAAAGTAGATAAATCTCTGAAATATTTTGCTTCTTCCCACTTCTTTTGCCTTTGGCATCTTCTCTTCCATCTCCTCTCTTTGATCTCTTCCTCCCTGCTTGTCTCTCCCATCTCAGTGATATCAGGAGCATATTATCTCAGGACTGAATAACAACAATCAAGGATGTGCAGGACAAAAGATGAGGGAAAATGATCAAGGTAGAGAATTTGTTTAAATATCTTCTGTAGGCACCATCAGTCTGACTGGTCAGCTTCCAGGAGTTCCAGATGATCTAGTGCTAAGTTCTGACTGAAAAAAAGAGGCAGAGTCTTAAGGTAGCTTCACAAAGCACTCCCCTTTGAGAACTTCCTGCTTGATGAGCAGAGAGGGCAGGAAGCCAAACCACAAGCTATACAAAGGCTTGGCTGATTATTTCTTAAACTTTACCCTAGAGAATAGTAGTTACTGCATTAGGTAGGGGAGGGAAACATTAGTTCCATTAATACTGCACCTTTTGGGGGTTACTGACTTATTTTCCTCCACCAAAAGCACTTGACTGTGTCCACTACAGCACAAGCCATTTTGAAGCACATTCCTTTAGCAGGGTAGTTGGGAATAAATGCCAGTACATTAAATTTACCCATCTGTAGCGTAGGAAATGTGGAGGGCTTATTTGCTTCTTATTACCTGACCTGAAATACCTAATAGGTTAGTTGACCCACTTTTGTAACTGTGCCAGTTTACCACTCTATTCACACAGCTCTGTGGGTGCCAGGGCACTGAGGTCTGGAAGATATTCCTGGTGGACTTCCCGCACATCTGTATGCCCCCTTATAACTCACCTTTACAGGGTAGGACCTAGCACGGGACTCTGTCCAAACCTCAGCAGGCTGGCCAGCAAGAGCAGCCAAGCCTGGGCAACAGCAGGGAATTGAGCTTGTAGATGCAGGAGGTTTCTTTTGTTGTTGTTGTTTGTTTTTTATCATCTGCACTTTTATTAGCCAGTTCTAACAAATTCTTCAAACTTGCTTCCCTCCACACAATCATGCAGCACGTGGTGGGGATCCTCAAGCACGTGGCAGGACTTCCACATGACAGGGTCACACAGAGATGCAAGCTGAGGATCACAGCAGTATAGCAATCATTCTGCTTCTAGTTCTGGTGTTGATTAAAAAAATAGCTTTTTAAAAGTCCAGAAAGAGCAGAGTCAGGAAAGGTATGGTGACTGCAAATACATTCTGCCCACATGGTGAATTAACTAGGTCCAACTCAGATACAATGAGTGAGATTTTAGTTTTACTGTGGCTCCCAGTCTTTACCGAGTAGACAGCAGGGAAATTTGATCTTCCTCAGACTCAGAAATACTCAGTTTTCCATGCAACAGGAGATTTGCATTAAAATATTATAATTTTGAAACAATTAAGACATCTACCTTAATGCACAATTAGAGCATAAAATTAAGAGATGCAAATGATGGCTTGGAAAATGGTACACACACACACAAAAAAAAGCCAACTATCCTCTATCCTGTTGCTACACCTTCAGCTGGAATGTTATGTTCAGTTCTGGCTTAAAAAAAAAAAAAAAAGGCTATGACAAAAATACACTCAATTTACAGATAAGATATACAATCATTAACTTCCTACTAAAAACTGAAAACACTAAGGATGTTTAGTTAAGAGAGAAGGTAAATAAAATGGCTTGAAATTTGTGAGATTATTAAGGAGAAAGAAAAGAAATAACTCTTCCATATCATATAAAACAGATATCAGCATAAAATTAAAAAACAAAAATCTAAAAGAAGGAAGTAAGTATGAAAACAATGCTCATTCTACATTTGTAGACTGGGGTGGTTGTTTACTAGGAAAGCTGTTGGGAGCAAGAGATAATCAAAGTAAAAACCGATAGTTAATTTGTGAAATTCAGCCATAAGTGCCCATAAGACCTTCTTGCCACATCACTGGCTTTGATACTGATGATTCCCACAGCATCTGATGAGTTTGCATTCTCGAAACCAAGACTGTGTTGGCTATGTTGGTCAAGAAAGCTCAAAGCAGGTGAATTTTACACCTTTAGCAGGTACTGGGCTTTAAGGTTCAACCTCAGAGTTGGCAATGAGGTCTGTGTCCTTCTGTTTGCTGCAGATCTATGTCAGTTTATATCAGCTGAAGACCTACCGCTCAGGTTCAGGTCCTCAACCTCCTGCTGAGTACTTATTGGTCCCCACCCATGTCAAGTGACCAGGCTTTGCTGGGATGTTGCAAGCTGTAGTCCACAGGAATTTAGAGTGTGTTTTGAGATATGGAACATACAACAAAACACAAAGTGCTAGTAACAATTATCAGACAGTTTATAATAATACGCACACAGTTAATTGATTTTTTTTTTGTCCTTTCAGTGTTTTCTTGCAATAGCCATAGTTACATTTGGTTTGTTTTGTTCCTCTTCAGAGAGTTTTTTCTTTTTCTGCACAGGATGTCTGCATTGCAGCCATTTCCTAGCGAGCTTTTCCTTTTAAACTGCGTTGTAATGCAAGATCCACCCAGTGTTTGGAAGGGCAGAACATACTGACATCTTAACTGGCTTCATACATGTTCTTGAAGCAATTTATGCTTTTATAAAGTAATTTGATACAGTTTAAACACCAGCTAAAGTGCTTTAAACAAGCATGCCTTACCTCACTATTTGGGTGTGCAAAGAGCACACATACAGAGTTACTGAGACTCAGCTGACATGGGGTAATCATGTTTGCTCATACAGTCTGTATACCAAGACTGTGAACTTTCTTGTAATGACTCACTGTGGCTGAGAATCTGTCCCAGCATGTTCTAAGTTGATTAAACTAGTTTGCAGGCCATAATTATTTTCTATATCATAGTATAATGGATTCACATCATATTATTTTTAACACTGTAAGAATTTGCTTCTGGGAATGGCCTTCTTAAATTAATCACTGACTCATGATTTACTGTAG